AGACCTGCCATAGGTGCATGTGGTCTTGAACCATGTTTTCTGCAGCGCGCAGACCGAGGAAAGCACGATGAACCTCCTTGAAGCGACGGCGAGCGTGGCGCCCGACGTCGTCCGCGCCCAGCTCCAGTCGCTCGCCCGCCTCGCGTGGGAAAATGAAGTTAACGGCCAACTTGCCAAGGCCGTGACCTGCCACATGGACCGCATCGCGCTCTCGGACAAGCACGCGGCGGGTCTCGGCGGGTACCAAGCCGACGTGTGGATGGACCTGGCGCTCTTCCACCTTCAGACGGGCTCGTTCGACAAAGGTGCGAAGGTTGCGTGTTTTAAATCTGATGGGAATCCCACCTACCCCTAGCCGCAAACTGCCTCCGGGATTGCATTGCCACCGACCAGCAGCATATCGGGGCAGTGCAGGCGTACGGCGCGCTCCTGTGCTCGTACCGCAACTTTGACGGCGCCGATATTGTGCTCAAGAACGGTCTCTTGCTGCTAAAAGACGACGGCCGCGCGCCGCCGGCGATCCGCGCCCGCAGCCACGCGCTGCTCGCTATCTACTATGCGACGTCGGGCATGGACGGGACGGGCAACCTGCGCCTCCACGAGCTCATGCAAGCGCTGTCTGTGCAAAAGTCGTCGGCGTTTGCGACGCCGACCGCTGTCTGCATCGAGATCGCGGCGTACCTCTGTGAGCTGCGACTCGACGACCTCGCGCGCATCGCACTGGAGCTCGGCGCGGCTCTGCGCAAGCCCAAGACGGTGTACACGAGCGTCATGTGGTCCACCGAGCGCTTTGTGCAGGCGACGATTCAGCTGCACCATGACGATCTTGACGTAGATTTCCATGGGGTTTCGTTGGATTGACATGCTCGCTAGGGCGCGCGCGCCAGCTTGCAGGAGGCAGTCGCCAAGGACGCGACGCTCGCCGATGCGTGGTACCTCCAGGGCGTCGTGTGCAGCCGGCAGCAGCAGCTCCGCGACGCGATCACGTGCTTTGAATACGCCGTCGCGCACGTGACGCAGCTCCGTCACGAATATCATTTGCCGCTGTTTCTCCAGCTCGGGGCGCTGTACATGCACCACCAGCAGTGGACGGATGCCAAGAGCATCTTCCTCACGTCGGTGGGCGAAGCCTCGAACGCCTCGTCCTGGCTCGGCGTCGGCGTGGTGTGCGTGCGCCAAGAAGACTGGGAAGGCGCAGAGATGGCGTTAGCCGAGGCTAATATCCTCGACAACACCAACGCCGATGTGTGGGGCTATCTCTCACTCGTCTGCCTCCATGGCCCGGTCCCTCGCCCGCTCCAAGCCGAACAAGCCTTGCAGCAAGCCCTGCGCTACAACCTCGCCGTGCGTCTCTCTATACTCTATCGAGATGAGGGTCGAGACCACCATCGACGTAGAACCCGACGCTGCTGCGTGAAATCAGCAACGGATTTGTGGCACTCGACAAGCTCGAGATAGCCGAGAGCCTGTTGCGGCGGTCGCTGCGGGCGCAGGACTCGTCGCTGACGCGCAAGACGTTGGCGGACGTGCTCTCGGCTCAAAACTGCGCCGAGACGGCCCTCACCGAGTACCAGCAAGCGCTTGCGAGCTGCGAGAGCATGGAAGGACGCGCCGACCTTCTCTCGCGCTGCGTCGCCTTGTTGGAGACCCTTGGGCGCAAGGAGGAGGCACACGAGTACAAGGCCATGGCGGCGCGCCAGCAGGAAGGTGCCGTCTCCGAAGGCGCGCTGCTCCAATCGCCACCACGGGATGAAAACAACCCTGCGAGTGGACCGGACGACGTCTAGTGGCCGAGACGGGCGCCAATGTACAAGTTGTCTATAACGCCGAAGCTGGAAACGCGGACCGTGCTACTACGTTGTTGTTGTCCATCGTCTTCCTCAATTCCAGGAGGTCATGAAGACGCAGGTGCCCTGACGCGGCCCACAGCGGACTTGCATCCAGCACCCGCTTGGCGATTATTCAGCAACCGCGCCACCGGACTGGTACTAAGACAGGGCAGAGCGTGTGTCGCAGCTTACGACGGACTGCACCGAGCGATGATCGGGCGAGCGGTCATGTGTCCGACCTGGCATGCGACATGCAGCGACCGATTCGAAGCGTGTTACAGACCACTGCCTTCAACAATGATGGGCCGGGCAGCTGCGGATGTGCACGACGCACCATCGTGCATCGTCCGATCGTCTGCGCTGCAACAGACGAAGTTGACCATTTTCTTCCGGCGACGCAACACCAATGGGTTGAAATGTAACATGTGTAGATAGAGTCTAAGTTTTAGAGAGGGTCGTCTCGCCGCTCGAAGGTCGGGCGTACTACTGTAGTAAATGGCTCGGGTGGTCGAGCGTCGTCGCGGGCCGGAGGATGGGCCGCGTGTGCTACTGCGTCCAGTACGGAGTGGCAGTCAAGTGTGGTGGTGTTGGGTGGGCGATCGCTCACACGGACTGGCGCCGGCGCTCAAGCAGCGAAAGCGACGACGAGCGCGAGAGGTCGTGGCACGCAAAGCTGGCCTCGGACGTCGTCGAGTAGCCCGAGAGCGACGTGTAGCCGCGCTTCTGATCGGGGCTCTCACCCACAAAAGCCCGAAAGGCGGCGCTGGTCTGCATCAGCTCGGAGGCGTTGATCACATCGAGGAAGCGCTGGAGGTTCATGGCGCGGTGCAGGAGCGCCTCGTCCTTGTTCCACACCATCCAGAGGCTCATGGCCGGCCCCGTCATCGGTAGTGACGGCGTCGCGAACCCGGCCTTGCTGAGCTCGGCGCGCAGCGCCTCAAATTGCTTGAAGCGCTTGCAGATCACATACTCCTTGTGGCGGCGGCCGCTCGGGACGAGCTCTTCGACGAGAATGTGGAATTGGATGTGGCCGTTCGAGGCCGGGCGCGTCTTGCTCGGGCTGTGCTTGGTGATGCGCAGGTGGCGGACGGTGGTCATGTTGCTCGAAGCGTGCAAATTGAAAAGTGATCTTAGCGCGACATGCGAATTTTTCCATGCGCGGCTTTTCAGCCAATCACATCGTGTGTTGCCGGCGCCATCTGGACCTTCATTTGCAACAGAGCCCCATGTGGGGTGAGTTGGAGTAGCCACGCGCTCGACCCAACGAGCGGCCACGAGGCTCGTTGACGGGCCTTGAGGGCATCTCGCCCTGCAATTCGATCTCGCCGTCGCTAGTACTGTGGTGGGCAGAGATCAAGTCGATTCAATTTGGAGAGACGACTAGAGAGATTAGAGAGCTAGGACTAGGAAAGCGGGTTGAAATTTGACAAGCTACTTTTGCAACCTTGTAGCAGTGCTCATGCAGCGGTGCGTCCGACTGCGTGGGCCACTTTTGCACATAGCTACTACCGACTCGTGGTGCTGGGAGGAACGCGGTATCGAGCGATGGTCGATCGCAACCAGGATAAATTTGACGGCCCCTGCGACGAGTACACAAAGGTTGTTGTCATCGCCCAAGCACACGCGCAGCCGTCTTCAACGACGCTCCTGACCACGTGGCAGCCTTCACAGGCTCGTGCTTTGACCAGGTGGCCGCCGTATTCCAGAAGCTGCGCCTTGGCCAAAAGAGCTTTCTGCGGCGGCAAAGGTCCCGCGGCGGGTCTGTCCCAGAGCCTGTGACGTCTGTCGGTACTATGGCGGAGATTGATGCACTACAGAGCAGGCGACGCGCAGTCGTCAGCCATTCCTCGACGTCTCTTGTAGCGCCATTTTGGTCTGTGCTAGCCAGATGCGGCGCCAACGTTGGCGACTTGGTTGCGAGAAAACGCTTCTGGATCGTCTTAATGGGTAGGGATGGATAGCAAAATATATACACACGTTTTTTTGAAATCGCGGTGGCTCAATCTCCTCCGCACGCTCTCTTGTCTTTGATCCGCTGCAGCTTCTACACTGCGAAGGGCTTTTCTATAGCAGCGCACGCCAGATCCAACCGCACGACCCGATCAGCGACACCACGTATCGCGAACACAGACACGGACAGGTGCGAGGCAACCACCACGCCGTCATGCATGGGCGGCGTCGAGGAGGGAGGCTGATGGTCCAAGCCATCTTGCATGCTGATCCTTCGACATGAAGGCAATGAGTCGTCTTGTAGGTCACTCTACAGGTTTGTATTGCCCTCGGCACCTCAAGATTCTGGCGGCAACTTCAACTTGATAAAAGCCTGCATTTTACGTGTTCGAGAACAAGCCGACAAAGCTCATTGAAAGACGGCGGCGGGCCACGTGGTTGCGTTGCGTTGTTAAGCGCTTGTCTAGCCCGCCACGCGTCGGTTCCTTCGTGCCATTTGATGCATTTGATGACCATAAGAAGAAGACGACGCGCTATGGTTTTGCCACTCTTCGTCGCACCCGCCTTGCGCCGCCATCAGTTTCCCAAGCAGAGTTGCTGTTCGTATATCCGAGCTGGTTCAAGCAATGCAGCGCTTCTCCGTTTGCATTGCAAGGCCCTCTCAATTCCGTCACCGGCAAGGACAGATGTGTATGCAAAGTCTTTGAGTTAGTTTTTGCTAATTTGATTTCAACGCGAACACGTTTGACTGAAGGACAGATGTGCCGGGACCATCTGCGGCGTCGTCATGAGACTCCAAGACCTCCACGAGACATGGCCTGACGTCATTGACAGAGGCGCGATCCCCATCACGGTATCCTGTTATATTTTGTATAAAGTTAGACGGTATATGGCGGACCAATCAGCGCGCGATCGCACTTTCCTGTGCAGCGATGGCAACGCGGCTGCGGCAGCTCATGATCTTGAGCCGCGACGTCGCGCGGAGTTCACGCTTCTACGAAGAAGGCCTCGGGCTTCAGATCCTCCGCCAATCCGACACCTTTGCTGAGTTCAACGTCAACGCCGGCGTGACGCTCAGCATCAAGCAAGCCCATGGGTACGGTCACATTGCCCTTTACCAGCCAGTGCAAGTGTCTGTAGAGAGGCCGCATGCAGCGCCGGGTACTCGCCGTTCCTCAACTTTGATGTATACGACATGGACGAAACGATTCCGCGTCTTCTCATGCTCGGCGCCGCCATGGACGGCCCGATCAAGTACCCCGCGTTCGGTACCGTGCTATCGAACCTCTCCAAGGCCAACGCTGTTCTAGGCAAGGTCGCTGCCGTGCGGTCACCCGATGGCACGATGATCGGCCTCTACGAATCGAACACAATGGACTCGGCCACGTCTGTCTAAGGCCCAAGCGTTGATAACTCCCACCGTTGGATGACAAGTGGCGTAGACGTATAAAACACCGATGGAACCGGGCATCGACCTCGATAAGGGTTCAAGTAGGAGAAAGACTGGCATTATATCGTGTCGAGCTCGGGGAGCGGCAACGCGGTGGGTGGCCCCGACGCGATATGCGACAGATACGCAATCAGGTTACTCAAGCCCAGCAAGAGCCCCTCGTCCGGCGAGCCAATACACAAGTCTTGGTGGCAATGCGCAAAGTCGATGAGCCGGACGTCGGTGGCGCGGGTCGGCCGGCCCTTGGTCTCACCCTCATACACCAAGAGAAGTGACGCACCCCAGAACCGAATGCCGTCCGTGGCCGCAATCTACCATAGCGGACGATGTAACTCTGGACGCGATGGCGACTCCTACCACGTCCTTGAGCGCGTGGAGTCGCTGCAAGAGCCCAGCGACCGCGTCTTGCCGCACCACTTCACCGTTGGAGACAAACTACAATACCCCATCATACTATAAGAACCTAGGGGTAGGGCCAAATACACGTACAAAGAGAAGGGCGGGCTCGATGTCGCTGGCGTGCAGTCGTCGGCCCCAATGCTTGTCGCGGAGGACGTAGCGGCTGTCGCACTGCCGGTAGATCTAGTGGCGGCCCTCGATACGACGTCGGCATGCCCAGATCGTACCTGCATGCCGCAGAGCCGCAGTCCGAGCTCCGCCGACGTCGTCGCGGCGCACTTGAGCGTGTGGCTGCGCGCCTTCTCTTCGGAGGCATCCTCCCCTATGACATATCGGTACACACTTGGCACGTTCTTTCTTCAACATACCGTGCTGGCGGGTGCCCATCTTGATATCCAAGACACACGGCCGTGTATAGCCCGACGTGAGGTCCCCAAGGACGAGGTACTCGCACAGAAAGGAGGGCGTGACGTCGTCTTCTTCGATCGTCTTGCCGACTTCTTTGTTCCAGAGGCTGTAGCTCACGCTCGTGTCGACCGACTTGCTCGATTTTCGACCGGTCACGGGCTTGCTGGCCTTGTCGCTGTGGGGCTGTAAATCCACGGTGATCGTGCCCAAATAGGCTGGCACGAACGGCTCCAGCTGCGGGAAGCGGCCGCTTAAAGCGCGGTAGAACGCGAGCTCGAGCGGGATGGCTGGTTTGCACACCTCGCCCGGTGCGCTGCGCAGGAATGGCTTGTGGCCGCCGACCTAGTGCGTTCCATGAGGTCGTCCTCGTCGCATCGATGCACCTGGTGGTTGAAGAGGTAGAACGCTGTGCCGACCGACGAGCGCGCGACGATGGGCTCGATCGCGTCGAGGCTGTCGCCAGAGAGAGACCGGGACGCTTGCGAGAGGCGCGACCTGCTACGCATGAGCTTTGTTGATTCAAAGAAGCGGCGTCGTACGCTGGCTCGTCACTGGACATGACTGCAAGTGACTACTGTTACAATGGGCCCGAAAACGCCAAAAATAACAAAAAGCATGGCGTGCAATTGGAGTTGGAGCCCCATCGTCGTCATCGCCACCACTCTTCCGACGCCCAATGGCCGATGCAGTACGGCAGCCAGAACGACGCCTTTCTGCCGATATGTCAAGACGAAGATGCCCTTGAGCGCCTCTGCTCTTGCTCATCGGAGAAAGCTACACGCAGCGTTTCCCAGGGCGCGCCTCCTCAAGATCCAAGATGCGCGCGGGCAGCTACGCGGAGTTTAAGCGCCACCAGCTCTTGTATGGCTCCGACCAGAGAAGAATGATGATGTCGGTGGTCATTTCGCTACCACCCAGTCTGTGTCGAGAGCATGCGGAGGCCGTCGCTCTCGAAAAGATGCTCGCCGCCGAGCGGGTCGAGGCCAAAGCGGCAGCCCACGCGCACCTCCAGCAAGCGGCGATCGCTGTAGAAGCGACTGCTTCGGCGCCGCACTG